ACACACACACACACACACACACACACACACACACACACACACACATAGTCTTGGCAAATGTAAAAGCATCAAAATGTGTGCAGTCTTTAAGAATGACACAAAAAAGTACAAAGACAAGAAAAAAATTACATTTTTCTTGGCCTCACAGAATCAATCGATTTAATTTCCTGCTTCAGCAGAWCACAAGAGAACACCAAACACATCTTTAAAGACGGGCTGGAATTATTGTCCCTCAATGACTTGACAAGGCTGTGCTTCCCCCCTTTAACAGGAACCATTCATCTGATCTCTGTTCTGAACGTATGCCATTCACGTACGGACTAGAGAAAAAGGGTGAAAAATAAGAYCTAAGAAGAGAGAAATGCTATGAATATTTATATATGTATATACTGTAGAAAAAAGCATATTCTCAGTGATCGCTACAAAGGGCCAAGATCTGGAGTTTCACAGTCTTTCTTGTACAACAGGTGCAGTAACAGTACCAACTCTTTGTCTCTCTGCTGTGATGACACCTGCCGCTCAGTGCTGTGGGAACATGAGAAAAGCAAAGCCCACTCTGTAATATATTCGGAGAATGTGTTTGAATATGTTTGCCGTGGGTGTATTCTGTATAAATGACACATTTTCTTATTACTTCGTTCCCTTCTTTTTTTTCTAAATCCTGTTCCATGCCTTCAGTCAGGTCTCAGGTCTTTAGTCATGTGACCCTTAAAGGCAGCAGGGTGTTGCACAGCATTAGGCAAAAATATCCCTCCTTAAGACCCCCTTATTGTACGCTCAGCTGGCTTAGTCATTTTTGATTTAGGAGCTGTAATATTAGYCGCTCCCGGCGCTGGCAGTAAACTGTGTCTCTGGTATACACGTCATATATTAACATCATTTTTTCTCACCAGATTGTCATGTGCACCTCTTTCTGTTATATTTTCATGCTATTAAAATGAGCTGTCAACACTTGTTTTAAGCTCATTCTTTATCTAAAAATCTGTTTTCGTTACTGCAATGTTGTCTGTGGCACTTTGGCAGCTGTTTGTTTAATCTGATCACCMAAAATCTCTGTTAATTTTCACCTAAATTGTAGAAGTAAAGGTCAAAATTGCAACACCAGCTGCAACTGCTAACATATAAAAAAAATTGTGAACAAAAACATGCAAACAGGCTTAAAGAAGCCCTTCGAAGATTTGGCCTAGTTGTCAGACTCAGATTTATTTTTACGTTTGAGTCATGTAACCCACATAGACTTTTCCTGCTGGTTGTGATGTTCTTTTTTTTCTCTCTTCCTTCCAATGAAAACTTGAGTACAGTGACTGATCTAATCAAGCTTAGTTKCTTGTGGCAGTGTAAAAGTCTCACTGGTTCTTTAACCTTATATATATATACAGTACTGTGCAAAACTTTTGACATCCTCAGTTTCTTTATATGTTGCTTCTACAGATTCAAACTAGTTTTTAAAGAGTCAATAGTTCTTCATGCTTTCACYTTTTTCAGGACGTTGATTGCTTTTCACCTCTTTTTGTTCACTTTTAGTATCTGATTGTGACAACARATTGTGTTGTTTTTCAAAATGAGGACATATTAAGAACAAAAATAATGTATGATCTAAAAATGTGGCTTATCTGAGATTTATCCACAGAGACAGGTCATGTGGAGCATTTCAGAAACGGCAGTCTATTTTTATGAATGCCCACTAACACTTTGTTCCTTAACAATCCTAATCCTGTTGACATAAAWTGATTGTTTGCTGAAATGGTTAAAAGTAAAAAGGATTAAAATAGAAAAACAACTGTTTATAAATTATCCAGTGTAATGTAGACGAGGTCTAAGACTTACTGATCATCTACTAAACCCTAACTCTTTTTATTACGCATCCATCCATCCATCCATCCATTTTCTGTACACGCTTCTTCCTTTTCAGGGTTGCGTGGGTCACTGGTGCCCATATCCAGCAGTCACAGTGCGAGGGGCGGGGTACACCCTGGACAGGTTGCAAGTCCATCACAGGGACACACATAGAGACAAACAACCATTCACTCTCTCACTCACACCTAGGGACAATTTAGAGTRATCAATTAACCTAACAGTCATGTTTTTGGTCTGTGGGAGGAAGCCGGAGTACCCGGAGAGAACCCACGCATGCACGGAGAGAACATGCAAACTTACGCATCTGGTTTTCATCTAATGCTTCGAGAATCATCTTGTTGGTGTAAAAATACTATTTATGTGTCAAAATATGTTATTGTAGATTTTTCTTTATAGATTTAACTACAAAAATAGAAATAAACTGTCTTTGTGAAATGTTTGTCACAACAGTGTTTGATAATCTCATCTAACTGGTTCTTTGTTYTATTGTCTGGTTCATTTCTTGAGTTTAGGATCCTTTTTATACCTGAATGACTTCAAATTAGGTGTCTTAAAAAAGATTAAAATTCATCTGAAACTGGTCAGGTTCTGAACAGAAAATAAAAGAAAAAGCAGACAAAGACTAAAAGAAAAACGGAAARATTTTGTTGAAAATACTTAAATAATTACAGTAAGTCTGCCTCCCTGGAAGCAACATGTAAAGAAATAATAGATGAATTAAGACATTTACTTCCCATCACTTTTTACAGCATAATTCTCTTTTGGAAGAAAAGATCTAAACTTGTGTTTGGTCTGTGTTTAGACTATTTCAGACATATTTTAGAGATGCTGTCTGACATGTCCATGTCCCACTTTGTCCACTTTCAGGGTGACATGTTGTCTTTCTTTTATTTACTACATCAAATGCTGCTTTTCTTCAAGAAAATGTTTTACACCACTGTTTAAAACCAATGTCAAGATTATTCTGTCACATTACCTCCCTCAACACAAAAGGATTTTTTTTCCAGTTTTATATTAGAGTAACAATAGATGACATTTTACTTGGATTTGTTTTATTGCACTTGACAGACTAGCTGTTTTTTTCTTCTGTTTTTGATTTTTGTTTCAAGCTGAGTTATTTGCTTCTTGCATCATAAGATATGGGCATAAAATTAGCACTCAGTCTTCTCAGTTATTATTTAGCAACAATGGTTCAAACAAACACCTGTTTTAATTACATAATAACAGTTTAGTAATTTAGCTGCCATTTTCATTAACCTTCAGACATTTAGGGTCTTCTGAGTTTTGGAGAACTCTGATGTTTTAATTTATTCAATTAATTTAAATGCAGAGACAGCCTGCACAGATTMTTTTAAAACTGTTAAACTCCCAAATCATTAGCATTATTAAAAAAAACCTACAAAACCTGGTGTTCTTTAGTCTTTCTTTATGTGGAAATGTGTTCCTCCACGTTTCTGTGTTTGGACATGAACATGATGCTGATCACGACGGCTTATACACTGAGCTACAGCATCACCCAGATGGTGCTTCTGTGCCTCTTCATCCTTCCTTAGGGTGAGCTTTCACCACACAGATGAGATCAGGACAGAACAATGCAGTGTGACAGCCCCTGTCATCTCTGCTAGAACCTTGTGGAAAAGGGGTGACCTTCGGTGGCGGAGCTTAATAAGGCGCTTCTGAACAGCCACAGTACAAAGCTTGTCAACAATCCAAAGCCCAACACCCTCGTCATGTGTGTCAACGTCAAAGCCCTCAGGGGATCTGGAAATGAATCATAGAAATTTTGTCTCCCAAATAGTTCACTGTTTTGTAAAACAAATTAGAAAACTTGTTTTGTGATGGTAAACATGATTTTTCCTTTACTCTGACATATTTTGATGTTTTATCTGTAATATTGCTTCTCAGGTTTGGTTTGTAAAACCAACGTATGTTATCATTAAAAGTTTACCCCACATGACATCTGTTTGTATCCATCTTCCAGTACTGAGACATCATCATTACAGAGAAGACTTTAGCTGTGAGACAACACTCGAACATTCCCACGTATGCACAGACATTCCTGCTCTTTAGACTCTTAAGCTAGTTCCCTATGATACCACCGACTTGGGCACCATCATCTTGTCTACAATATCTGTTCAGTGATTTGATTGGTGAGCCCTGTTTTTGGACCACTCAGACACGTTATAGCAATGGACCTCCACTTTGTCACACAAACAAGGAGATCTTCAACTTRGAACACCTCCAGGAGTTGGCGTCTCCCCTCAGAGATTACTTGTGTTGCCGCACCACATGCATCCTTTCATCTGTTTGTTTTTGTTTTCCTCCTCCCTCACACAGTCACCTCTGTCTTGCTGTTGGTCACAAAGTAGGGCTGTGTGGGGAGGAAGTGTTGGCTGTGGCTGTGCCCCCTGGTGCTGTGGAGTTGGTTCGGCTCCAGCACGGTACACTGAGGCCTCTTGTGCCCGTAGCTCTTCCGCCTGCCCACCGTCTCTGTCCCATCCCAGCCCTTTATCCCAAACCCAGTTGCATGCCCAGTTGCAATTGTGTTGGAACTGTACGCCAATGGGCGGCCCATTGTAGCTGAGCCTGAGCCAAAGGAGGTCTCAGCAGCCCTGGAGATGCCCAGGGATGTGCCACCTGGCATAGTCCCCACCATATGTGCCAAGGAAGTAGCCCCAAGTCCTGGCGGCTTGCTACTGTGGCTGTGAACATGAGTGTGAGAGCCGTATGAGCTGTGGGCAGCATGACTATGGCTGCCTTTGGGTTTTTGGCCATTTGGCTTGAGTCCCCCTCCTGCGCCTGCTATGTGCCTCTCTGTTGGGAGGCTGGAGATGGAGGAGATGCTTGGCATCTCAGTAATGTAGGTGGCCACAGGCTCTGGAGTCAGTGGACCCAAGGAGGTCATGTGAGTCATTGAGGTCATTGGAGTGAGTGAAGTCATAGGTGTCAAAGATGTCATGGGTGCCAAAGATGCCATAGATGCCATTTGAGCCATTGAGGTCATCTGTGTCATGGTGTGGTTCATTGGATTGGAAGTCATAGGGTTTCCAGCCATGGTGTTGGTGGTCATTGAAGGAGTCATTGATGAGATGTTGCCCATGGAGGGTCTGGAGTTTCCCATCGGCTGGAGAGGAAGGCCACCCTTTGTTGGCAGCTCAACCATGAGACGTCGCTTGTTGTACAGTTCACCGTTGTACTTGGCAGCTAACACAAGAAAGGGAGACAAACAGAAAAAACATAACACAATTTGGTAAAGGCCAAGAATCTAAGAAAAAAAATGTTGAAATGTTGGGATTTTTAGATTTTACCTTTTACTTTCATCAAAAGATCATGCATTTTGTATTTTAACTTTGTTAGTCAGCCTCTCCTCATCTAACTGACCAGAGTGTAAAGGTAATCTGTTAATGTGTGCATTAAGAGTCCCATTCATCTGCTAGAAGAGTGAACTGAAAGGAAAAGCTAATAATTTAACCCTATCCTGCTTCTTAGACCACAGAAGCATCTAATTCCATCCTCTTTTAWCTTATGATTTAAAAATAAAGGCATGTGAGAGAAAGAAGAAAAACATCTGAAAAATATTTTATGATTATTTTACAACATTTTCAATCTCTGTCCTGCAAACATCTGCAATAAGGAAATGTTTCATTGGACCTCGAGCTTCAGGTCTTTCTGACCTAGAGGCAGCACAAGACTTAAAGAATTGCGCTTCCAGCCATAAACCATTGTCTGAAGCACAAATGTTGCTCAAATAAAGCTCAGTTTCAAGAAACAGTATTTTGAATCAACCAGAGTATGTACGTGTAATGTTATGAATGACCTTTCTTCTATGTCACACTCCTGATTTTCTTAAATCTTCAAATATTTTCCTTGAACATTAGTGTTTTTTTTTTTCAATTATTTGCAGTCTATTCTTAGCATCTAAAAGTTTTAGTTGGTGCTGCACATTACAGTGGGGAGATGGAGGTTTACAGTTGGTTTGCCCTGATTTTATTTGTATGTTTTCCTGTTTTACTCTGAATAATTTGATTGATTTTTCTCCAACATGGTGTATGTTATGTTAATTAGTAATTCTAAAATGACCTTATAGTGTATACAGAACTCATCTTTCTGCCTTTTTTTTTCAGCATCGCACTCAAGCCAACAATCAAGAGAAGACTTCTCCACTGTGAATGCAGAGGGTTCACCACAAGTTTTAAATAACTGGTGAGCCTCAAACACAGTAAGGCTAGATTAAGGCATGCCAAATAGAATTTTAAAAAGCCTTTAGAATTCTGAAACAACATCCTATGGACAGATGAGACAAAGATCAACTTGTACCAGAGAGATGGGAATAGAAGAGTTTTGAAGAAAGAAGGAACTCATGAGCCAACCACCTCAGTGAGGCATGGACTGGTAGTGTCATGGTGTGGGCGAGTATGGCTGACAATGGAACTGGTTCCCTTGTTTTAAAGCAGGATGAATTCTGAAGTTTATTCATAAAAAACATATTTTTTATATACAATAAAAATACAAATCATAAATGAATGGTAGCAGAAGAAGAAAAAATCCTATAATGTCTGGCCCTTTTCTCGAAAAAATTAACTTTAACGAGATTTGTCCTCAAATAACAAAAACAAAACAAAATAAAAAACAAAATAAAGTGCATAAATAAATTAAGAAACTCCTAGAACAACTCCCATTACTTTTGGTCCCTCAAAAAGTAAATCTGATGTGGTTGTAAATACCTTCAAATTAAAGCTGAAAGTCTGCGTCTAAAGCACATTTTATTCATTACATTTTAAATGCATGTGGGGAGAGTTTACAGCCAAAAAGATGAGAATTGTCTCGATGTGGTAATTTATGGACCTAACTCTATGTCTGTTTTGGTTAGTCCTTATAAACATTACGTTTAATCTCATGAAAGTTAGCAATACATTGATCTCGCATGAGCTGTTAGCCCTTGGGGTATGCATTGTGAATGCCTGTCAGCTACTACCACACCAAATTTTAGCTCAGTATCTGTAAAAACGATTGAGTTATGGCCTATTCTGTTCACGATGATTGCTTTGCTATGATGTCCATCTTGAATCAGGTCAACTTGAAATTTTCATTCAGTAAATCCTCAAAATGCCACAGCAAACACACAGGTCCATGTGTGTTGGTGTAACTCAGTAAACGTGTGTTTATATGTGTGTGTTTGTGTCTCTTTTTCCTCAGAGCTGACAGCTTTAAAGCCTGATATTTTTCCCTTCCTCTGTCAGTCAGCGTCACCAAGCTACAGTCCCCCTTATCGCAGCAAAATGTGACCTTTTTCCCCACCCGATCCCCGTTCGCAGTCAACTCATTACTCTTTAGCTCTTTGTTGCCGCCTATCCTTGAAGATAAAGTTAACACACTCAGTGAGTTTGCTTTGCTGTTGTAACTATAAATCTGGTTTATCACTCTGTGAGCAGCAAAGAGAAACGAGTGAGCTGCGAGGGAACGGCAGAGTTGAGTTGTGGGTGAGAGGGGAGGGAGGAAGGGAGAGAGAGTCGCGTTTCACCCACAGATTCCCTGCCAGACCACCCCTGGGGATCAAACTTGCTCAGGCGACAGGTGAATCAATCTGAAGGTAGTCAGCTCAACGGTGCAAACATCCTGCGGTGTACGTGAGAGGAAACTCAAAGCGCCGTTGTTACGCCGTGTGGGCTCTGCATGCTTCTGTCTGAGCAAGTCAGGCATCCCGCAGAGACTCACATCATGCATCCGGAGAAAAGACGAACACTGCTTCTCTGAAACCCCCACAGAGACACATGAAAACTTTATTAGGTCTATACATAGGTGTAAATCTGGTTTTCTTTGGCAATCAGTTTAGAAGGTTTTTTTGTATGATTAGACATATTTACACAATTATATAACTGGGATCAATAATTGCTAAGGAAATTCTTTACAGAGATGGGTAAGTTTCTCATTATGGGCTCGACACACGGGAGGCGACGTCGCTCACTCTCCAATCATTTCCTATGGAGTTTGTGCGATGAGGCGACAATCGCTTGCCCTCCTCCAGCCAAGCGACCGGTGAATATAGTGCATGTGAAATTTCGTGCTCGTACACGTAGACGTGCACACGTAGACGTGCACACGCAAGCTTGCGACGCGACATTTGAAAGTTGAAAAATGTTCAACTTTTGTCGCTGTTGCTTAGCGTACAACCAATCAGCGAGGGTTTCATTGACTGACCAATGAGCGGAGAGTATGCTACACACTGCCGTTAGCTAACACTTTCACCAAGTGATCACTAAAAAAGCCAGCTTTGTGTGAATTTGTTGGTGCCAGGGTGAAGTTATCTGGTAAGTTTGTGTTTGTTTTTCAATATCATTAGCATCACAAGATTTGTTTAGTTTACACGTCCGTAATGCACACCCCCTTTTTTTGTGAACCACCAATAACCTTTTCAAGAGGCAGTAGAAGAACCAATCAAATTTTGCGAAGACAAGCGACCTGAGAGCGCGATTCGCAACGCTGCCATTGCTATTGCGTCCCGTGTGTCGGGTTTCACTCTGGCTGCGATGACAGCCYTTAATCGCTATAGTTTGTCGCCTCCCGTGTGTCGAGCCCTTAAGGCTGTAAAACCATCTCCAACCAGTTCTTGGTACTACAGCTGCACATTTTATTAGAGGTTTAAAGTGTTGCATGTTTAAAAGGATCTCTGACTTGCACATGTTCACCAAAATGTGTTATTTCTCTATTTTACAAAAAGTTGTTGCTTGTGACATGTAAAAAACACTTTAAAAATTTCTCTCTTAAGCACATCACCATTTTGTTACATGCACAATGCATTTTGGGGATGACGGTAATGAAGATAAGTGCCAACTGAGTCTAAAACACAAAAAGTCCAAGCTAAAGAGCTATAATGTGTGAAAATAAATGCATAATTTGTATTAGTCTATTGTGTATTTGGAAAAACACATGGGTTTAAACAATGAAATGTGATGTTTAGTAAATTAGTTTTATACATACATACATATATATACAGTATATA